ATATTTTGCTCATAACGACACAACCACTTGCTTTGCACTAGAATGTGTGGATAATTGCAGTAAATGCGATACAGGGCAGGGACAGAGTTGTAGCTGACAGCGCTCCCACTGACCCCTACATGCTCAGGGTGGCAGGGAGCAAACACTTCCCGCCCTGGAGACGGTCCCCTTCTCCCTTCTCAGCCCTTGGCAACATGCCCCAGGCCGCCTTATACCTACTGCGTCCTCAGACGGGACCTTTAGAGATGCTTTCGGGATCTTGGTTTTGGAATTTAGCCCCTCCTTCCTGCCTACCTGCCTGCCTGCCTGCCTGCCTTCCATGCTGGGAATCGAACCCAGGTCTGGTGTGTGCAAGACAAATGCGGGAGCCACTGTGCTCTCTCCACCTGGAACTGAGTGTTTATAATGATCTAAAACATTTACATGCCGTATTGCTGGGTCTCAACCATGCACCTGGAAAACAGTTTTGATTCCAAGAATCCCCCTTTGTCCCTGGGGGATTCTGGAGAGATCTCTTGTTCCCCAAACTGCCTTTCAACCCCCTGGCCTGGACACAGCCCCCAAGATGCCCTGAGGCCCCCAGACCAGGTCAGATGCAGCCCCTCCGATGTGCCCCTGCTGGTGCCCACGGGTGCCCCGGATGTCGGGCAGCTTCTCTGTTTTTCTCCCAGTCTGGCCGACCTTGCCTGCACCCTTGAAAACAGGTTTGCCAGGGGGGCCGAGAGGGTCTTCTCTCTCGACAACAGGGCTGGGAATATCCAGCCTCAGGCCACATTGATCCTGTGAAATCACCACCCCAGTGGTGAGGGGTGGATACGGTGCTCCTATCAGTGACCCGGGGCCCCCAGCCCATGTCGTGTGGCCCTCGCAGGTCATTCCAAACACTGAGAGTTGCTAATACCGAGCTGGGGCTGGGGGTAGCGGCCTAAGACTGGGCATGAGCTGGGACATGGGTGCAGCTGAGGTGGCACCGGCAGCAGGTGTCAGGCACACTGCTGATAGGGGATGCTGTCTGCAGAGGCTGGCATGACCCACGCAGGCGGATGGGGTCCTGCAGGGACCAGGTTTGGGGTGCAGAGGCTGGGGGAGGGGGCTTCTCTGTACAGCCGGTCTCTGTACCACGGCCTCGGGCTATTGAGCATGCAGAGGACACCGGGGCCCGCTCCCCTCCCCCTGTGTCTGCTGGGCGTGACCCAGTTGGAACACATCTTGGTTCTGGAACGAGGGCTCAGTGGAACTGAGGTGGGTGCAGGTGCACCCTATCCTGCAGGGCTGGGTCTGGGCCACTGGCAGCCTGGAGGTGGGGGGAGGGGGCGCGTTGGAGGGAGGCTAGTACTGTGGAAATGTCACCGTGAGCTCAGGGGACCCCCCTGAAGTGTCACCGTGGAGCTCAGGGGACTCCCCTTGGTGGCTGTTCAAGCAGAGAGAGGAAACAAACGCTTGAACAGGAGAGAGACAGCTGTTCTCAGGGAGGGGTTTATTTCGCTCATAACAACAGCAGCAGCAGCTCGACCACAGCAGCACGCCACAGTGCAGAGGGGACAGATGCAGAGCGGCCGCGGGCACCTCGGGCCACCGCCTCCCACCCCCCAGGCACAGCCAATGCTTCTGCGTTAACACAGACAGCCACCGCACCCTCCTACAGATCCGCTACAAACCCACTGGGTAAGGATGCGGGAGGATGCAGGAGGATGTGGGGAGGATGCGGGACGGATGCGGGAGGATGTGGGAGGATGCGGGATGGATGCGGGAGGATGCGGGACGAATACGAGAGGATGTGGGAGGATGCGGGAGGATGCGGGACGGATGCAGGACAGATGCGGGAGGATGTGGGACGGATGTGGGAGGATGCGGGACGGATGCGGGAGGATGTAGGACGGATACGGGAGGATGTGGGAGGATGCGGGATGGATGCGGGAGGATGCGGGAGGATGCGGGAGGATGCGGGAGGCTGCGGGACGGATACGAGAGGATGTGGGAGGATGCGTGAGGATGCGGGATGGATGCGGGAGGATGCAGGAGGATGCAGGAGGATACGGGAGGATGCGGGAGGATGTGGGGAGGATGAGGGACAGATGCAGGGAGGATGTGGAATGGATGCGGGAGGATGCAGGAGGATGCAGGAGGATACGGGAGGATGCAGGGAGCATGTGGGGAGGATGAGGGAAGACACCTCCATTCCTCCTCGGAGAAGCGTCTTTCCCGCACTGAGGCCTCTGTGGAAGGAGCAGCGTGTTTGCCGTTCGCCAGGGCAGTGGGTTCTGGTGCTGAGTTCTGAGGCTTAAGTCTGGAAGCGGGTCCTGGGGTGTTGGCCAGTGAGTTCTCGGCTCATGACTCAGGGTGAGGCTGGACCCTGCACCAGCACTGCACAAGGTCGGGAGGTTCCGCCATGCAGAAAGGGACTGGAACCTCACAGGAGCAAAATGGGGTGTCCCGGCAGGATTGAGTATACAGTGGGCCGAGAGGGGAGCCCTGGTCACGCCGACGGGTGCTTCCACTTCATCTCAGGGGTCCTGGCTGGGAGATGCGGCTGGGCTGCCTTGGCAGGGCACGAGCCCACGTGCCGTTCCTCTGGGGAAGGGCTGCTGGCGATGGGCACAGCGGGGAGCCCGGGGTGGCCCGTGTCCTGCCTTGTCAGCTGCGCCACTTGGAGAGGAGAGTGGAGACCCTCTACCAGGCCCCGCATCCCCCAGACCCTGTTCTCTCAAAGACTCAGGCTAGCGAGCACCGAGGGTGGCTCAAACCCACGTCCTGTCTTGGCCTCATCCCGCAGAAGGGAAGGAAGGAAGCTCTTTCCTTTCCCATCAGAAAACCTCTCTTTAGGGGCCTGAGCCATGATCCAGTGGGGAGGGCACTTGCCTTGCATGCGGCTGACCCAGGTTTGATCCCCAGCACCCCATCTGGTCCCCCAGAGCCACCAGGGGAGATTCTTGAGCACAAAGGCAGGAGTGAGCCCTGAGCACCACCAGGCGTGGCCCCGAACCAAACGAGCTCTTCAAAATGCAGCTTAGATAACAGGCAGGCATGGGGTGAGGGGGCACCCGACTGTTCTCAGGCGGCCTGTCCGGCGGGAAGCAGAGGCTCAGGAAGGGGAGGACAGTGACTCTGGTCCCGGGGCCTCTGGACACTCAGGACCCAGAGGGGTCATGGCGCCACAGGAGCTGCGCCTTGGTGCCCGTGACCCCCAGCCGGCCCACTGAGACTGTCCTTCCTGCTCTGCTGGACTGACACGTCCGGGCAGCAGTGGGGACAGAGGCCACGTCTCAGCACCGGCCCGAAATGCTGGGTGCCAGGATGCGGGGGCCAGAATGGCACCTGGGAGACGATTGTCCTGCTCTCTAATCAGAGGGTCGGGTGTAGCTCAGTGAAAGCATGGAGGACTGCAGGGAGGCCCTGGGCCCATCCCTGCACACATGCGTGCACACATACAGACATACATCCACACACACACACTCATGCACACACGCGCTCATGCACACATCCACAGATACCCCCCCACACACATATTCATACACCCATTCACACACCCACACACTCATGCATGCAGTCACCACCAGACAACCACACACTCATACACCCACACACACCTACACATTCATACACCCATTCACACTTCCATACCCCCATACACACACACGTTCACACACACACACATGCTCACACATACGTGCACACATTCTCATATGTACACACACCCACATGCTTATACACACTCACACACATACATGCACACACATACACGCACACACACTCACACACACGTACACACATACATGCACACACACATACACACATGCTCTCACACACATACACACATGCCTACATGCTCACACACACATGCTTATACACACATGCGCACTCACACACATGCACACATATGCCTGCCAGGCAGGGAGCACTGGGCACTGGGCTCTGCTGTCTCTGAAGGACCAGCCACAACCCCAGCTCCTTCCTGCATTCACATGACCTCAGCACGGGGACCAGAGGCCAGGACCCTAGTCCTGGAGCTGCCAAGGGCCAGGCACCGGGCTGACCCACTGCATCCCCCAAGGTCAGGCCCCAAACAGCTGGGTCACTGCAGACATACCTGGGAGATGGGCAGTGACCCTCCCACTCTGGAACCTTCCATCCGCCCAGGAGGCTTTTAAAGACGCAGGTTCCAGTAGCCCCTCTGAGGCAGGGCTCACACTGGGGGCACCGCTCTGAGACAAGTGAGGGCTGGGCCGGTACCCAGGGGCAGGGCAAGAGAGGCTGGTGGTTCCCCAGGACGGGACCACCCTCAAAAGGCCCAGGGACCCCTAGTCTGACCAAACCCACCAGGGACTCCGTGGGTCTGAACCTTGAGGGACCCCCATAAGAACCAGCCCTGGCCTCCCGTCCTGGGAATGACCATGAATTTTCTTGGTGGGCTGGTATGCCCTCTGGCACCCGGGGACCAGAGTCGATCCCAGGGGCCATGGGTCAGTGCAGTGAGTCCTGCCAGACCCAGCAACCCAGGCCAGAAAAGGGGTCCTGGGGGCTATCCCGCTCGAGGCGGCTGGCCGGCCCATGCCTGCTTTTCTCCGAGAGAACAGAGGGGCTGGAGAGAGACAGCAGGAAGGACAGTGGCCATTCATATGCACCAGCCCAGGCTGGATCGACCCTGGCACCCCATAAGGCCCCCTGAGTCCCACAGGAGAGATCCCTGAGTACAGAACCAAGGAGCGGGCCCTGAACACCACCCAAAAATGAGAGAGAGAGAGAGAGAGAGAGAGAGAGAGAGAATGCATAGAACCTTCCAGAAGGAGAGCAAGTGCAGGTCCAAGACCCCACGGAGCACCCCCCCAGCCCGGGAGCAATAATGGATTCGGGGCTCACAGGGGGTGGGGGACGGGGAGCCCTTTCAAGGTGAAACGTGAATCATTTTCCTCATTTAATAGAAACATTTTCTCATTGAGGCGCTGCAAGACCCCAGTCACATTGTGAGTTGTCCCCTCCCCCGCCCCCACCCCATCCCCACCCTCCTGCAAAGGTCTTAAAACACATGGCTTAGCAGTGGCTACACAGAAAATATACACCCTGGCAGTCTGACTTTCATTTAAATACAAATATACAAAATGTAAACTGAGACAATAGAGAAATTTACAAAACTTTTCTTTAAAAATAATAAAGACAAAATTCAGTTCTAGTTAGGATGCTATGAAAACGCGTGCAAGTCGTATCCGGCAGGGTTGTATTGCGAGGGTCGCGGAGACCCGGCCGCCGGGAGAGCCGCCCTGAGCTGAGTCTCTTGGAGAAGGCGGGGACGGGGCGGGGGGGGATGCCCCGTGTCCCCGGGGCCAGTGCCCACTGTCCGCTGTCCGGGCCGCGTGGCTGCCAGGCCCGGGCTGGGACTAGCTGCTTCCGGCGGAGTTGGAGCGTACATGGTTGGAATGGATGTGGTGGTTGAAACTGGCCTTGGGGGTGGTCGAGCTCTTGGAATTGTTCGGGTGCTGCAAGAGAGCAAGAGAAAGCAACTGAGTCCTTGCAGGGCCGGCTGGGGTGGGGGGTTCCCGCGCTCCGACCTCTGACCCCGACCCTTCCCACCCACGGAGGCTGTAAAAGGGGTTCGGCCAAGGCAGTCCCTGTCAGAGAGAACCTGGGTTGGGCCCGGGGGAATTGAAGGGTTTGCATGCCAATGGCCAGGCCCCTGCGCCCCGCTTCCCAGAGCCCTGGGGTCACCTGCCGCTTGAAGATCCTCTGAAGTAGCCCCCTCCTGGGGGGGTCCGGGGGGCGGCTCCTGTTCAGGTCGGGCGAGAGGGCGCCGCTGGGCCCGAACACGTTCAGCTCCTTGAAGCACTCGGTCTCAATCATCTGTGGGTGCAGGGCATGGCGTGAGACCCCCACGGCCCACCCCTGTAGTTCACGGGGCCGGCAGCCCGGGCTGGCCTTCCTGCTCAGCCAACCAGCCCGGCCTGGCACCCTGAGCCCTGGTGCCCCTCGTCCCAATATCCCCCTAACCCGGTGCCCCCCAGTCCGGTGTCCGGCCCTCTGGTAACCCCCGATCCCAGCATCCTGCCCCCCCCGGTATCCCCTGATCCTGGCATCCTGCCCCCCTGGTACCCCCACCTCTTGGTGCCCCACTCCCGGCAGCCCCTCCCTGCCCCCAGCACCTCGCTCTGCCACGGGATGGACACGGAGCCGGTGGAGAACTTGGAGTAGAAGTCGTCGTCCGTGTGGTCCAGGTTGACGCCCTTCACGGTGGAGAACTGCTCGATGTCCAGCACGTCCTTGCAGTACACGGCCCGGGGCTGCGAGGCAGGACGGTCAGCCCCGTCCTGACCACAGGCCGCAGCCCCAGGCCCTTCCCAGAGCCCTCCTCGGAGCTGGCACAGGGCAGGGCAGGAGGGAGCCGTGTGGGGGTTCCCCAGCCCCCCACCTCCCCTGTGTACCAGTGCCTGGGCCCGCCCTGGCAGCTGGTGCTGAGACCCCTGCTGGGGTTCCCGGGGCTTCTGGCACCGGGCCAGGGTCCCCCAGATGCTGTGGGGCGGGGGATAAGGTCCCATGGGCAGAGGAGCCCCGGGCATCGTGGGGAGACACTCACATCGGGGACAAACGGGGGTTCCAACATCCCGGCTTCCAGGCGCTTGAAGTTGACGCTCCGGAAGAAGGGGTGTCTCTTCACCTCTGCGGCCCCCTCCTCCCGGCACCCCAGCCGCTGCTTGGCGTCTTTGGTGAGCAGCTGTGGGGAGGGTCCGTGAGGGGCGGCACCCTCCCCATGCACCCCCGTCTCCCTGAGACCCCCCAACTGAGACCGGCCCTGCTGCTCAAGGGGCCGCACACTCATGGCGTCTGCACGGGGTCGGGGCACAGACAAAGTGCTGGGACCCCTGTTCCGGTCATTTGTGTAAGGACGGAGCCGGTGACAGGTGGAGAGGGACGAGGGGACACAGGTCTGACACTGTCCCCACTAGCCAGGTCCCCCAGCATCTCCCCATAGTGGCCACCAGGGGGCAGCAGGAACAGCAGTGCCCAAAGCCAGAGAGATTGGGGGTGCGGGGGAGGGGGGTCGGGACCCTGAGCACCACTGGCCCCTCCTGCACCCCCCTGGGCACCCCAACTCTCATTCACCCCCTGGGTCCCCCTCTGGGGGTGCACGTGCCCACTGCACGGCAGACCGAGGTCTAGGCGCATGGGGTGGGGGGGTTAGACTCTCCTTGGGCGGGAGTAAAGTGGATCCTGCGTCCAGCCCCTCACCCCTCATACCCTGAGCTGGAAGCCCAGTTCCTGGGCATCTGACCCTTCACCCCCACCCACTGCTCCCCTAAACCTGGCTCTGGAGGCACTGGGGCGGGGTGGGGGCAGGTCCACGGGGAGAGGAGACCACAGAAGCCTGGCAGGAAGTGACCGTCTCCCCACAGGGGGGCTGGTCAGGAGGGGGTCCCGGCTGTCCGTTCCCACACCAGCCTCCACTGTCACCAGGGTGGCCTGAACCCGGTGCCTGTGGGGTCAGGGGTCGTGGCCGGCGCTGGCCCCAGGACTCACCATCTTGCAGATGGACTTGGCCTCCTCGGAGAACTTGCTGGAATAGACCTCATCAGTGTCCAGGACGCGGCGGTCCACTTCCTCCCGCTTCACCTTCTCCTTGCGGCCGCGGAAGGGCGACTGGCCCTCGATCATCTCGTAGATGAGGCAGCCCAGGCCCCAATAGTCGGGGCTCAGCCCGTACCGCTGGTTGTTCAGGACCTCCGGGGCTAGGGGCAGAGGGCAGCAGGGGTGAGACAGGGCTGGGGACAGGGGCTCCGGCCACCTCACGGCCCAGCTCCCAGGGGCAACATTCATGGGCCAGAGTATCAGGGCAGGGCCTCTGTCCCTGCGAACTCCTACTCACCAGCTGCCCTAAATGCCACACCTCCTCCAGGGAGCCCACCACGCGGGCAACAGTGCTCACCCATGCAGCCCAAGGTGCCCGCATTCACCTACTCACCCAGCAGCCCACAGTACCCGCACTCACCCATGTAGCCGACAGTGCCCACACGGCCGCGGATCAAGTCTCCTTCTGGGATCTTCACGGCCAGGCCCAGGTCGGAGATCCGGATGTGGCCTGTGGAGGGAGGAGTGGGGGGTGGTCAGAGATCTTGGCTCCACCCTGGCACGTCTGTGTCCCCCCACCCTGGGCAGGTTCTAACTTGTCCTGGGGCCCCTCTGCCAGCCACAGTGGGCAACCCCAGTGGAGACAGGCGCAGAGGACACTGGCTCTTAGAGGTACACAGAGGTGCCCGTGGCGGGGGGAGGCCGGCACCTCGCCTGAGTCAGGGGCTGCTTCGAGGGGACTGAGACCCCCGTGAGCCCTGGCCTTTGTCTGAGGGAAACTCTGAAGGTGGGGATGGTGCCGTGGTCCCTGGCCTTTGGGGCCTGTTGGGCTGCTCCAGGGAGAAGGAAAAACTGGGCCACGGAGTCCCGAGAGGGAGTGGGGGGCCCATTCAGGACAGACCCCAGGAGGGGATGCGGGGGGACGAGCTCTGCCTCGGCCTGAGGCTCCCCGGAGGGTTGTGGGCAGAGCGGGCCCTGCAGGAAGGGACACACCACAGGCCAGCTCACACACGACACATGGACATGTGCACACGTTCACACGTGCACACACACACATACATGCACACGCAAACACAGGCACACACTGCGCATTCACACCCATGCAGCACACGCACGCACATGTGTGGTACACTCACACACACGAACCTATGGCACATTCACACACACGTGAACACACGCACAAAGCACACATTCGTACACGCATGCAACCCTATGAACAAGTACACACTCATGCACGCACACACACCCATGAACAGGCCACACGTGCACGTGTGCACAAGCACATACACACATGAGCTCACTAAGCACATCCACAAACATGTATGCACACAGGTACACACATGAGTACGTTCCACACATTTACAATCACGCGTGCACTCCCAGGAACACATACTGCACATCCACACAGGGATGCATACCCATGCATACACACACGGCAACACCCAGGCCCTGGACAGCAGGGAGGGCGCTTGCCTTGCACGTGGCTGACCTGGGTTAGATCTCCGGCACCCCACATGGTCCCCTGAATCTCGCCAGGAGTGATCCCTGAGCACAGAGCCGGGAGTCAGTCCTGAGCACTGTCAGGCATGGTTTGGACCAAATAAACACCCAGGCACTCACACTCACACGTGGACACACAGCGCACACTTGTGTGCATACCTGCACACACAGGCACACAGAAACCACAATGTTCACACAAATGTACACACACACGGTACACATTTGCACACACAAGGGAAGTTCTGGGTGGAGCCGTGCAGAGCCCGTTACCTTTGGTCGGGGTTTGCGCTGCAGCTTCTGGAAGGGTCTTTCTAGAACCTCGTCCCCCCCTCCCCCGGTGCCCCCAGGAAGTGGGCACGTGTGCACAGCCACCATTCCTCACCATTCCTCTTCCCCACCAGGGAAGGGGGAGCACAGAGCAGTGCACTGGCTCAGTCACTGCGTCCCCATCCCAGCCTCTCGACCTGCGGGATCGCTCTGTTCTTGCAAGAAGGAGCCTCCCTGTGCCCGCTGCGGTGACCCACCCTGGCGGGCCGCCCCCCTGCCTGCCCCCCCACCGGGCCCCTGGGCTGCGGCAGTTGCACACAGCGGCTCCCTGACTCACCATAGTCGTCTAACAGGATGTTTTCCGGCTTGAGATCCCTGGAAGGAGAGACGACAGACGTGAGACCTGGCAGGCTCGGAGGCGAGCGACTGCCCGGGGGCCCAGCGCTGCACCCCTGTCCTGCGACCTCCTGGCGCGAGCCGTCTGGTCTCTATCTGGGTCAAGAGAGTCTTGGGCTCATTTCTCTGCTCTCGGTAATTTAAAACAAATGCCGCCGCTTGCCGCAGGCCTTTTCCCAAGCCTGGAGAGGGCCGGGACAGAGGTCAGGTAAGGGCCGAGGAGGCGCGGGAGGCGGGTGGGGGGGTGGGGGCCGGGGCAGCTGGTCCCTGGCTCCGGATGCAGGAGACAGACCAGGGCTGGGAGTGCCATGTTGGGGAGCCAAGAACGGGACACAGAGCTGCCTGGAAGAGGACAGCGACCCCCCAGGAGAAAGGACCTCTGGGGAGTGGCCCCTGGGCTGGAACACGGCCCCCCCGCTGCCCTGAGTTGCAGCCCGGGAAAGAGCACAGCAGTGCCCTCCTCGCCCCCCCCCCCCCCCGCCCGGGAGCGTGTCCCTCCCCGAGGGGCCACTGGGCATCATCTCCAGGATAAGGGTATAGCCTATTGGTGGTGCCTGCAGCTGGCCAGGCGCACAGCAAACTCGGCACCTGGATCCTAGCTCGGGCTCTGGACTGGGCCACGGTCACGGCTCCCAGCTACAGCCACGGCTCCGTGGGTTTCACTGGAGGAGCGGCCCCCGTCGGGCGGGGTTCAGACTCAGCCAGGGCTGGTACTTGGCTGCGTTTGTTTTGGGCCCTGGCATGCGTTTGCTGTGGCAACATGTGGCAGCAATCCCACGAGAGGCAGGAGCCATCGTGAGGACCAACAGTGACACCGGGGTGCAGGTGCCGAGCACAAGGGGGGCCCTGGGTTCTCGTCCTCCCGCCCCGAGCAGCTGAAGCTGGGAGACCTCCCGATTTTTTCAGGCGAGAGGCAACTGAATGAAGCTTCTTTCTGGTGTTATTCATGGCTTTTTTTTCTTTTTCAACCTGTAGGGAAATTTTTCTGACCCTCCTCTCACTCGAATGATACAAGGCCGAGATTGGCCCCCCAGAGCTGCCCTCTGGCCAGAGTCTGCACGGAAGCAGGGGGCTGCGTGGGTGGGCGGGGCCATGGTCCGGCACGCTGGTGGTCTCCCCCACAGAACTCCCGAGCTGCAGCGTCCACAAACTCCATCTCCACCCGGTCCAGCCTGACCCCCTGCGAGCTGTCCCCGCCAGCTGCCCCATCTCACTAGTTCCTGCGCCTCCCCCCATCCCCGCCGTGAGAAAGCGCCAGGTCCTCAGAGACAGGTGGCCACTGCCCAGTGCCACCCAGGAGAGTGGGCGGGAGGACCCCGGCCAGCAGGCAGGGCTGCGTGGCCACGGGAAACAGCCTGCTGGGCCCGCCCCATAGTGCTCAGGCTGGCGCCCACCCAGTGAGCTCGGCCTGGTGGAGCCTCAGGGTCACCCCCAGGGTGCCTCAGCTCAAACTCAGGGCCCTGCCAGGCACCTGCCTCAAAGGAAATGCAAAATAAATCGTCTATGGGTCCATCTACCTCTTTCAGGACTCAGTGAAAAGCTTTAAAGCACATGATACACCATGTGGGGACTGGAGCCATACATAGCACAGCGGGAGAGCGTTTGCCTTGCACGCGGCCAACCTGGGTTCGATCTCCAGCATCCCATACAGTTCCCAAGCATGGCCCAGAGTAATTCCTGAGTGCATGAGCCAGGAGTATCCCCTGAGCATCACTGGGTGTGACCAGTGAAGCAAAAATTATTTTAAATAAATAAATAAAATGTTCTGGAGCGATAGTACAGCGGATAGGGTGTTTGCCTTGCACGCAGCAGACCGGGGTTCGATTCCCAGCATCCCATATCGTCCCCTGGGCACCGCCAGGAGTAATTCCTGAGTGCAGAGCCAGGAGCAACCCTTGTGCATCGCTGGGTGTGACCCCCCCCAAAAAAAAATTTTAAAAAGATACGCCACGTAGCAGCACCCTTCCAAAAGACAGGCAATGCCATGGGGGGCTTCCTGGGTGCTCCCAGATGCGGGGTCCATCCGGCCCGCAGGCAGCATGAGGCCAGAAAACCACAGACCCCAGCCCCGGCGTCTGCCCGAGGCCTGTCTGCTGGCCGGTGTGGCCCAGGAAGGCTGCCAGAATGGCCTCTGGGTGGTGGAACATCCCCAGCCTTAGGGGGTGGGGGGAGGGGGTGGAAATGCAGCAGCCTCGGGCGCTGACCTGAGCAGGAGGGGCCCGGGGCCGCCTGAGCACTGCTTGAGAGTTCCCCCTCTCCATTCAGTGCTCTACTCGGTCAAAATTTCAAAATGCCAACCTTGGCTACAGTTCGCCCCGGCGACCCCCACACCCACTCAGCGCAAAGCCCAGGGTGGGCTGCCCTTGCCCACCTGTACACGGTGTTTTCACGGTGCAGATCCTCCAGGCCGCACAGGATCTCAGCCGCGTAGAAAAGCGCGCGCTCTTCCTCGAAGCCGGGCGTGCCCATGTTGTAGATGTGGAACTTGAGGTCACCCCCGTTCATGATGGTCAGGACCAGGCACAGCGCGTCCTTGGTCTCGTAGGCGTAAGCCAGGTTGACCTGGAGCACAGCGGGGGGCGGGAGGTTGGTGGCAGGTTGGCGGCGCCCTCGCTCGGGCCGTGCAGGGAGGGGGGGACCCAACAGCCCCTCCTGGCTCACCCCTGGGAGTCCTGGGTTTGATCACGGCATCGCTAGGGGTCAGCCCTGGGAAAATACCCCCGCGGCCTGGCTGGCCCGTCCAGGACAGCTGTGTCTGGGGAGCCTCGAGTGGAGCCCCGGTGTTCAGGGGATGGGCAGGGAGATGGGCATCGTGCGGGGTGCAGGGCAGAGCTTGGCAAAGACCATCTGCTCGCAGGGACAGGACACACCCGGGCCCCTGGCCCAGCCCAGAGCAGCACCAGCCTCTGTGCTGAGGGAGCGGCCCCCTACCCGGAAGGGCAGAGGTTGTGGGGGGAGACGGCAGGAGCTGGGGAGGACACTGGGCAGTGCCAGGGTACCCACTCTGGGAGCCGGCACTGAGAACTGGGGACAGCACAGGCCTCGCTGGGCCCTGTCCTTGGCACAGAGCAGTGGGGTCCTGTCTGAGGCTCGGGGATGGGAGGAGCGAGCCCAGGTCTGGCCCCTGCACCACACCCCTGTCCAGGGAGTCTGGAGAAGGCCAGCCGCTCCCCGCACGGGGACCCGCCAGGGCTGTGGGTGGGCTCCGGCACGCCATGCTGGCTGAGGGGAGCTGGCAGCACGGAGCAGGAGCATCTGACAGCAGGGAGGGCACTGCCTGGCACACGGCCAACCTGAGTTCGATCCCCAGCACCCTGGAAGGTCCCCATAAGTCTGGGGGTGGGGGGTGCAGGCCCCTGGGTGTGGCCCTAATGAGCCCTGTCAGGAGTGACTCCCTGAGCACTGCTGGGTATGGCTAAAAGCAAAAAAAAAAAAAAAAAAAAAAGAAAGAAAAGAAAAAAGACCAAAACACACATGGCCCAGGGCCAACTGGGGCTGCCGCTGGCCTCACCTGCTGCCTCCAGCGACTCTCCCTGCCCCCTGTGGCCACAAGGGGCACCTGCTGTCCCTGGGCAGTGCCAGGTGTGTCGGTGGACACATTTTCGGGCACTTGAACCCGGCTGCCATCCTGGGGGGGCGTTTGGGAGGGGAAGTGCGGGAAGGACCCCTGAAACAACCCAGGGGAGGCCCCTGGCTTGTAGAAGCTTAGCTGGGGGAGAGCCCCTCACCCCTGGCCCCCCTCTTGGCTCTGAGGCTGGGAAGTCGCCCACACGCAGGCTGACAGGGACTCTCCTTCTCCCCAGGGACAAGCAGCAGAGACACTGGACCTGAGCATGGTCACAGTGCTGCTGCCAGGCCTCCCGCAGCGGGGGGGTGTAAGTGGGCGGACACACACAGGGAAGTGACCTCCACCCCCACTGCACAGGGGCCTTGGTGAGCCCCCAAAGTATGGCCCAGAGGCTGCGAGAGGGGGTTCACGGAGAGCCCACCTGTCAGGAGATAAGGGGGCAGCTGGAGCGGGGGTCCAAGGGAAGGGCTCCCGGGGGTGGGGAGGGCCGCTGGCTCTGACTGTAGCCCAGGCCCCCTCTGGCTGCCTCCCCAGGGACCCCCTGCGTGCCGCCCACCCCGGGGGCTGCCGTTCCTGCCACGTACCACGAACCGGCTGTTGACCCGCTCCAGGATCTGCTTCTCGTTGAGGGCCATGGACTCGCCCTTCCGCTTCTTGATGCGCTTCTTCTCCAGCCGTTTGCACGCGTACATCTTCCCCGTGGCGCGCACCTGGCAGGCGCAGACCTGGCGGGCAGGGGTGCGTGTGAGGGAGCCCCCCGCCCACCCCGCACCCGGCCCAAGGACACGGCCCAAGGACCCGGCCACCCCGGGCTTCGCCCGCTAGTCCCGGCCAGGGTCCTGGGGAACCCCCAATCACGAAGGGGCCCAGGCGGGAAGGACTGACTGTCCCGCAGAGACCCCCCCCCCAACTGCCTCCACCCCCAACTTCCCAGGGGACGCAGTTTACCAGGCGGGCAGGCTGCACCCTCCCGCTCCTCCACCAGGGGGCGCAACGCAACAGCAGCGCCACGGGGTAGGGGGACACCCGGCAGGGCAGTGGGGGCGGGGCGGGGGGGGCGATGCTCACTCACCTCCCCAAAGCCCCCTTTGCCAAGTACTCGGTATTGCCTGAATGTGTTTTTGGTCACTGGTTGCCTGCGGGGAAAAGAAACGCAAGAATCTTGGTCTCCCAGCAACAAGAGGCTGAAGGCCACCAAGGCAGAGGCTGGGGCCCGTGGGGGGCCCCCAAGGGTGGCCTGGCCCTTTCCCCGGGGTCTCCCTCCATCCTTCCGTGTCCACTACAGAGCCTGGGGTCTCTCGGAGAAGCACAGGGAGAGGCTGCTGCGTGTCTCAGCCACCGGGGGAAGGAGGGGTTAGGGGAGGGGGGGTGGCCTCAGGCCTCAAGTTGGGTCATTTCTGTCCTTCCAGCTAGCCCTGTCTGCCCAGTGCCGCAGTGGCTGCGTCTCCCAGCTGCCCTCACTGACCCGCACAGCCACTGACAAGGTCTTGTCCAGCCCGGGCCAGCGGGCACAGGCAAGGGGGCTCCCAGCAAACATCTGGACACATCAGGCTGCAGCTGCCCGGGCTTCTCACTGCTGGCCTGGCCGGCCGAGAATAAGCAGCTCCCCCAGCTCTACTGGCCTGGGGTGGACGGGCCCAAATGAGGGACGCACATGCACGCGCCATCAGGCTACTGACACCGTCACCTCAGAGCCCCTTCCTCTCCCTCTCTCCCTCCTTCCCTCACCCTTTCCCTCTTTCCCTCTCTCCCTCTCTCCACTTTCTCCCCCTCTCTCATCCTCCCCCTCTCCTGCTTCCTCTTCCTCTTCTCACCCTCTTTCCCTCTCTCTCCCTCTCCCTCTTCCTCACCCCTCCTTCCCTCCCCCCTCTATTCACCAGCCGGCAGGTGCAGGGTTGCCAGCCCTGCAGAGCTCTGCCCGTGGACTGAATCTGTCCCGGGCAGCCTCTACCGTGTCCTCACCCCACCTCCCCGCCCTGCTCCTTGCCACCGACTCCGCTTCTTGGTTCTTGGGGTTTGGGTTTTTGGTTGGTTTGTTTGTTTGGGGGTCACACCCTGTGGCGCTCAGGACACTTCTGGCTCTGGGCTCACTCTCGGGGCGCCCGGGGATCAAACCCCAGGCTGGCTGTGTGCAAGACAAGCGCCCATCCCCCCGCCCCCCCATCCCCTGCCATCCCACTCCCCATCCCCATCCGCTTCTGGGGCTGAGTGACTTCAGACTCCACACTGCCGAGAGCACCCGCAGGAGCAGCTGCAGGGATCTGGCTGGTTTTACCAGCCTGGACCCCCCAGGGCCCCGGGCCCCCACCCCCACCAGGTTCCCTCCCTTAAAAAGGCTCAATAAACTCCCACTGTGCAGGCATGTGATCAAACACGCACATGCACACACACGCACACACATAGATACGGCCTACACAGACACACACACACACAGTCACACAGACACACACACATATATACACACTCACACAGACATACACACAGTCACACACACACTCACACCAGTCACACATATACACAGAGACACACAGACACAGATACACACTCTCTTACACACTTACACATACACACACACACACACACACAGGTCTCAGTAACATCCTACAGTGCTGGTGCAGGCGAAGCAGATCCCATGGCCACAGAACAGCCCCCAGCTTGTGGTGCTGGCCTGAGCCCCAACCCCGAGCCCCCTGTGCCCGGCCCGGCCCGCCAGCCTCTCCAGGGCTGTTGGCCTGGGGTCTTGGGGCCCTGCGGGCACCGTGACTGCATGGGGAGACGTTGGCCGAGGAAGGCCCGGGCCACGCCCGCGGGCGGAAGGGCACTGCCGGCATCGGAAATCACGTTTTCCGCGCACGCCCCGCCCGAGGAGCCTGGGCCCGCAGCCCGTCTGGGATGCCGGGGCTCTGACTCACGCCCTTCCTGCCAGCTCCCTGGGAAGCCGCCACCCTGCCCGGGACCTGCCCGCCGCCCGCCCTCCGCACGCGGCCCGGCAGCGCGGCCCAGGGCTGCCCCGGAAACCACATGAAGGCGGCCGGGCTGGCAGTTTACGATACACACAGAACAAACAGGCGGCCGCCGAGGCCGCAGAACCCCTCGCGGGGGGAAACGCGTGTAATACAATTTCCCAGGAATTTCTCGGTTAACCTTGGGAGGGGAAAAAAAAAATCCCTTAATATTTCAGCTGTGCAGCCCAAGCAGGCTGTGGTCTTGTTGGGGGGAGGCAGAGAGGAGCCGGCTATAGGAGGAACAGGCCGGAACCCTCTGGGGGCCAAGGGTGACGCCTCTCGGGGAGGAGTGTCCAGAGCCCGCTCAGGTCAAGTCCCCTGCTGTCTGGCCACTCCATGCCATGGACAAGTTGGATGAACCAGCAGTGACAGCTAAAGAGTTCCAGGAGGTTTGGAGTGCTGGGCGAGCCCAGGGGGAGGAACTGGGTGACCCTGGGGTCAGGTTCCAGTCTTCCCAGCTCGGGCGGTGTGACCCAGGGCTGATTTATCAACTTCTCTGGGCCTTGCATCTTCAGAAAGATGCTGATGTTAAAAAGCCTACCACCTGAAGGCCTTAGTGCGTGGCTGTGTGTGCCCCGTGTCATTAGAACTCGAGAAACAAAGGATGAGCCCCCACACCGGACAGTCATGGTGGCAACACTGTCCTCAAGAGTTTGCCTTTCATGGGGCTGGAGCGATAGCCCAGCAGGAAGGGCGTTTGCCTTGCACGCGGCTGACCTGGGTTCGATCCCCAGCGTCCCATATGGTCCCCTGAGCACCACCAGGAGTAACTCCTGAGTGCTGAGCCAGAAGTAACCCCTGTGCATCGCCGGGTGTGACCCAAAAAGCAAAAAAAAAAAAAAAAGAAAGAAAGAAAAAGTTTGCTTTTCAGGCATGAGGTTGTGGGTTCGACCCCCGGCACCCCCACATGAGATCCTGGCAGTGCTTCTGAGAACCCCCAGCCCTGAAAATGACTCTAGTTGTAGCACAGCTGTGTGTGCGTGAGCTCAGCGCCCCTGGTCAGCACCCCAACTAAAGTCGTCACTCTGGGGCCAGAGGGAGCGAGAACACAGGCTCAGCCACGCCTGCCTCAATCCCCAGCCCTGCAGAGCACTGCCAGGAGTGATCCCTGAGCACAGAGCCGGGAGCAGGGCCTGAGCCCCCGAGAAGGGGCTGTGCGGCCACTGCGTGCACACGAGAAGGCCTTGTGCATGTGGGCGTGTGCCATCATGTGTGTCTGCAGCAGCGGGCAGCGTCTCGGGGATGCCTAGGAACAGCCACAGCATGAGGAACGGTGGATCTTTGGGACCCCGGCTCTGCGGAAGCCCCAGATGGACTTTCCCATACGGACTTTCACCCCCCCCCCAAAAAGAAGCAGGTGCACACACAGGCATGCACACGGGCACACACATACACAGACACACACGGGCACACACACACAAAGGCACGCACAGGGCACACGCACAAAGAGACACACACGGGCACACACACATTAAGGAACGCACATGGGCACACGCTTACACAGTCATGCACATGGGCACATGCACACAGACACACACGGGCACACACACACAAAGGCACACGCTCACACAGGCACACACACGGGCACACGCACGCACAGGCACACACACGGGCACACACACACAGGCACACACACGGGCACACACTGACACACATGGGCACACACACCGGCACATTCTGACTCCCGCACAGGCACCCACACAGGCACCCAAGCACACGGGCGCGCACACGGGCACACGCGGGCACTGCCTTGGGCCACGGCGCTCACCTCTCCAGCCACTTCCACTGCAGGAAGCGGTCGAAGTACATACTGAGCAGGTATTCCTGGAACGGCTCGCCCCTCAGGTAGTCGTGCACGGACCTGGCTCGGAGGAACAGGCAGGTCACCGCCCTGTCCTGCGGGACGGGCAGGGCGTGAGCCCCGGCCCAGGGACGGCCGGCACTGGCAGGCGGCCCAGCCACGCCTCCCTGACGGGGGTGGGAGGGGCACTCAGGACGGGCCTCCTCGCTGCCCTTATCGCCCTTATCGGGGTCACAAAAGAACCTGGCAACAGCCAAGGTGAGTGAACGCTCACGGCGTAAAGTGGGTTCTGGCCGGTGTGTATGAGCCCCGGGGGTTCTCGGGGACAGGAGTTCAGAGATCCCCCCCACCCCAATCCCACGGGGACAGCTAGGAGCTGGCGGCTGGCTCTGGAGTGGGGGACGGGCACGACTGGCAAGGGGGTCCCCAAAGCAGGGGTCTCCAGAAGAACTGAGGGGGCAGCGTGGGGTGCCAAGGGCATCTGGCCGAGAGGCCCCGAAGCCCAACGCTGAGCACTGCGGCCCGAGGGGACACATGGGGGCGTGTCCTCTGAGCCCGAAACAGAACTGCTGGCCCCCAGGCCCAGTGCTGCCCCCCACCTCGCCCCCAGCTCCGAGGTGCTGGCTTCCTGGGGCTCTGTGCAGGCAAGTGGGGTCCCCACGACACCCCAGCACTGCCGGGCAGACAGCTGCAGCTGTCGGATCGCCTGTGGCACCAGGACTGAACGCAGGGCAAGGAGCGGCTGCCTGGGGTGCACGCGTGTGCCCACACCCGGCTGTCTCCCAACCCATCAGCTTGCTGCCCCCGGGGAAGGTGGGTGTGATGGAGGAGGAGCCCCAGGTGGGGTTTGACCGAGGAGGCAGCCCAGGCGCAATGGGTGTGACGGAGGAGGCAGTCCGGGCAAGGTTAGCCTGACGGAGGAGGCCCCAGGCGCGCCTGGCAGCAGCAGGCCACTGGCTGGTGGGGATCCGGAGGCCGGGGAAGGATCCAAACCACCTGGCCGGCCCGGGAGCCGCCGCTGTCATCGCCCTTTGAAGCAGTGTTTCCCTTGGCCGCGGGGCCCGTCTGCTGCCTTCACACGGGCCCAGCCTGCCGGGCGCGGGGCCGGGGGGCACCAGGGCACTTACTGGGCGCAGGCGGAGAACACTTCCTTGCAGGGTCTCTGGAGGAGCTGCTCTTCCGTCTGCGAGGCCAGGTCCTGGCCCACTTGTGCAATGAAACCGGGGGACTGGTGGGAGGCAGAGAAAAGAGAGTTAGTGGGGCAAGGGGAGGGGGCAGGCACACAGCTTCTGTCCCCTGGCAGGTGGCAAAGGAGCCCAGACCTGGGCTGACCCCAGCCCCTGCCTTCGCGGCCCTTGGCTGCGCTCACTGATGTGCTGGGGGGGGGGGGGCCCGGGGGCCCCTCCCAGCCTGCCGGGTCCCGCAGCTGCTCTGGGGACATGGGTCGTGCCCAGCCAACCTCAGGGCCTGTGCCAGAGGGTCTAAGGAGGGCAAGAGGAGGCACGGGGTGCAGCTTTTCTGGGGGTTGCTGGGCTCGGGGCTCTGGGGGGGGTGCCTGACCCAGGAAGCAGGTGGGGACGGCATCTCTGCAGAGCGGCCCCTGGGCAGGGGGGTAGTATAGCTGGGAGGGCGCTCGCCTTGTGCGTGGCTGAACCGGGTTCAATCTGCAGCGTCCACCTGGTTCCCGGCCACGGTCAGGAGTAATTCTTGAGCACAGAGGCCAGAGTAACCCTGAGCATCACTGGGTGTGGCTCAAAAGCCCAATTTTTTTCTTAAAGGGCAGCTCTGAGTTTCTGCGTGGACACTGGGGCAGGAGCCCCGGGGTTTCTGCACGGGCGGGGCCCACGCCAACTCCTTCCTGCCACCCCCTCCGCCAGCTATTACCTCTCCAGCTGGCCCAGGGGGGTGTCATAAATACAGGGATAATTGAGAAAATTGCTGGGAGTGGGCTTGGAGAGACGGGGCGTGACGCGTCTCTCTCCCTAAGACACTCAAGTACGGAAAGCGGCTTTCTCTCCCGGCCCCTGAAATGGGGCTGTGGGTTGACGGCTCTCAGCAAGCACCCCGGGGTGGTGGTGGGGGGAGGGTAAGAAATCAGCAAAGCAGCGAGGGAGCCTGGCAGGACGCAGAGCAAGGAAACAGGTTCTGTGTCTCATTTTCCACCTCCTGGAGGCCCACCGTGCTTTCCTTCTTCCTTCCCTCCCTTCCTTCTTCCCTCCCTTCTCTCCCCTTCTCTTCCTTCTTCCTTCCCTTCTCCTCTTTCCCTTTCTTCCTAACTTCCTCCTTTCCCTCTTTCTTCCTCTTCCTTCCCTCCTTTTCTTTCCTTCCTTCCTTCCTCCCTCTCTTCCTTCCCTCCTCCCCTCCGTCCTCCCCTCTGTCCTCCCCTCCGTCCTCCCCTCCGTCACCAGATGGTGCTCTCCACTAGCTCCAGCCAGCAGCCTGGCTGTTAGGTCCCTTTCTCACACTCAGCTCTTGGGATGCTTCTTTCAAAGGCTGGGGGGAGGGGGGAGGGGGGAGGGCATTGGGGACACATGCACGGGGGTGGGGGGAGATAAGTAAGAATCCATGCTGGGGACCACCACAGACACCCCACCTCCTGATGGTCCAGGTCACTGGAGCCCACCACCTAGTCAGGCTCCCTGTGCCCCTCTGGGCTCACAAGTCCACCCTGTGACTCTGTGGCCAATTCCTGGGACAGCTTAAGGCTGCGGGGCTCGCCCTGGCTCTCTGCATCCAAGAAGGGCGCTTGGTGTTCCCTGAGCCCTGTGGGGCTCCCGGCCTGGCCCCCATCTCCTCCGGGACTGAGTCTCTCAGCTGGTGGCATCACTCCCCTCCCGACACACACACACACACACACACACACACACCACAGAGGCAAGGCCCAGGCTGTGAAGGGGCCGGAAGGGCGACCATGTGGCCCCTCCCCTGCGCACCAGCTCTCAGCAGTGGGGTGTCCTGGGGTTCAGCGGGGAAGGGCCTGGGCCAAATTGATTCTCCCTGACGCCTCACCGCCCCCCCCCCCGGGCCCCTGCACCGCCCAGCGATGAGACAGCAGCAGGTCCCGGGGGCACAGCTCAGCGGCCACCTCAGTCCCCCCAGCTGCCCCTCCACTCCCGTGCCGGCCCCCGAGGTCCCCATGGCGGCTCTGCCCGGAGCAGCTCAGCCCCCAGAGCACGTCGTGGGGCCCGGCCCGCTCCCCCTTCCTGCCCTCGCTCGCTGATGCCCAGGCCCCATGCATGCCATCACCTGGGCCTGCTCCAAGCTCGGCAGCGCTGGGCCCGGGCTCATCGGCTGGCAGGGAGCCCTCGCCGCCCCGAGATGGCATCACTGCTGGGTCCCACCCAGCCTCGGGGCCTGCTTCCAGGACCGCCCGGGCCAAGGGAGCCGCAGCCCTCCCGGGATGACGCGCGCCGTCCCCCCTCCCTGCCACTCGGAGCACCCACACTCTCCGCCTGGTCCGCGGAGCTCGCCTCGGGGTCCCCTCGTGGAACCCACCTCAAGCAGGCCTTTAAGAACGAGTATCCCCATGTGCCTGGGGGCAGGAGGAGACTCCGGCTTGACCCCCAGGCTCCACCCAGACCACCTCGGACCCAGAGTGCTCGGCTCATTGGAGACGGTGGGCCTGGGAGGGGGCCGTCGAGGGAGCCCGGGTGGGTGGTGTGGGGGGGGGATTGGCTAATGAGCTGCCCGGACGCATGTTGGCAAACGCGCTCTGTACAGCGCTGGGGCACGGGCTCCCCCCGCCCCCCGCACGCAGAGGCTAATGGCCAACATATGCTTCGCCTCAACATAGGAAAACATCCCACCGAGAGCTCGGGCTCATTAGCGCTGGTGCCGTCAGTGGACAAAAGGTCGGCCCAGGAGACCGTCCGCCCGCTCTATCTCCAGACGCAAGCACTTAGGCTTAATGATGTGTATGTTTTCCTATGTGGGCGACTGACATTCCCCCATGTAAACGAGTCGCAATTTCCCAACGCAGACAGAGTCAGCTTTCAGGAAGAGCGGAGCGGGGGAGAGGCGGGGATGGGGTTCGAAGGGGGTCTCCATCCTTCTCGGCAAGGGCTGCCTTGGGGGCTTGACCCGTCCCGCCCATAGCAGGGTGGAGACTGTTGTTTCTGGGGGAAGGGAGGGTTGCGGGGGGGATGGGGGGACTCATGTCTCCTCCAGGATGAGAACAAGGGAGGAGCAATGCCCTAGGCAGACCCCGGCTGCCCCCTGACCCTTCCCGAGGGGATGTGCGTCAGCTGTGGGAAGAGCAGCGGGAGGCGGGGGTTGGAGGGGTGGGGGAGTGAGGGGGGGGCAGGCCTCCCACAGGAGCTGGGCTGGAGGCCGCCGTGGCCCCTCGCTGAGAATTTTCCCAGGAATCCGGACTTCTGTCGCTCGCTTCAGACAAGGCCCCACGTGTGGGGTCTGCAGATCCAGGGCAGGGATGTGGAGACTGAGAGGGAGAGAGCTCTTTGGGGGGCGGGGAGGGGGGTGGTGCTCACTGCTGACCTAGCAGAACAGAGAGCCGGGCAGTGGGCACTGCATCCAGGCTCCAGATGGGAGCCGGACAGCGGCCAGCCGTGTCTCTGCAGAGCAGGGGCCCTCTGCGGAGGCGCCTTCCCAGAGAGAAGGGCAGCGAGAATGAGCACCTTCCCGGGTCATCTGGTCTACCCGCACCCTCAGGCCAACAGGGCCCGTCTGAGTTCTCGGGGAGTCTCTCAGCCGGGCCGCGGGGTACTGCGGTCAGCACAGCTCCTCAGTCCTGGGCAGCTGAGTCTCTGCCATTACATCGGACCCTGATGCCTGATGCCAAACGTTCCGAGACACCCGCCTTGCAGGCAGCTGCTGTGACCGAGGATCATCTCTTGTGGCTGAAGCTCTAGATGGTTCTCCTGGGCCAGAGTCAGGCCCGTGGACTCGAGCCCCTTCCAGCACTGTCCATGATGCCTCTTCCCCTTGCCTCTCTCCACCCCCCCCCGCCATAGTGGCCGCTCCCCAGCTGGGGGTGGGGGGAGGCTGGCACTGGATGCGGCCACAGCACGGGCAGGAGGGGAGCAGAGTGAGGACCCTCCAGGCCCCAGCGTGCTGTGGGACAGAGACGGGAAGGAGGCAGAGGAGAGAGCACGGAGCAATGGCCGTGGACGGACCCGAGACCTCGCTCTAGGCTGGCCCCACAGTCTGGCTGACAGGAAGGGAAAGGTCCGTTCTGCGCGGGGCTAGCTCCTGGCAATGCTTAGGGACCCTGGAGGGCCAGCTGAGTATGAAAGCCCCAGTTCCCGTCCTTCTGAGCTGCGCCCACATACCCTGGCCCATCTGGAGCACGTCTCCCTCACCAGGAAGGGCCCCGAGCAGGAACGGAAACAGAGGTGACATGGCCAGGGGCTGGGGCTGGTGCCAGTCTCAGCCCTACAGTCAGACCACACAGCTAGCTGGACAGGCATCTGGGGGCTGGGGACACGGGGGGAGGAGCTGGAGTCACTGTCCCTGAAGTTCTGTGGAAGGTGACACTTGCCAGCCCTCCCCCACCTCCAGAGTGGGCACTATCTCCAGTGAACTAAAGCTTTGGGCTCCTTTCCATGCAGATGGAGACCTACGGAATGTTCTAGATGTGTGGTGCGGGGGGTGGGTAGGCTGAGGGGGGTGGACTGTTCCGACATTAGCACTTCCGGCCAACAGTGCTCTCAGATCTCCAAGGGGCCTGTCATCTGTCCCCACAGATCTTTTCTCCTTCCTGGTAGACGTATACTCAGACATACCCCCATGTTACTTTTGGGGGAGGGGGCAACACAGGGGTCACTCCTGGTGGTACTGGGGGACCATATGGCCCCTGGGCTGGAACCTGGGGCTCGGCCTGTGGGAAGTCCCTCCCACCATTATCCGAGCTTTCGCCCCAAGCCAAGTCTCAACAGGGCGGGTTCTGGGGGGTCCGGGCCCAGCCCTTACCTCCCCACCACCATCCTGACTCTGCTTGGCCTTTCTAGGACGGAGACCTTGAAGTCTGGGGGCTCCTGGGGTGGAAAAGGCAGGAAGGTCCAGATGCAGCCTGACCTCAGAGTCCCTCCTGCAGACACAGTTCCCCCCACCCCCGCCAGCTGCTCCTGCACCCGTGGGACCCTAGGGATGGTTTCCTGTACCCCGGGTGGGGGGCGCCGGGGCAGGGGGTGATACTCTGTTGGCAGAGCCCAGCTCGCTCTAACCAGGGCCCTGGGATCCTCCGAGCTCTGCTGGGGTCACAGCAGGTGA